GGAAGGAGCAGCGGGGCAGATAGATAACGACGGCGAACCGTAAACCAGCTTGTGGGGATAATGTTGTTGATGGGTATTGCCATTTACTTTATTACATTTTGTTCGAGCGCAATTTTGCGGAATGCCTTTAACCACTACTACTACCGTCTTCCCCCGAACATAACGCACCCTGATAATAAATGTATACAGACTATCTTTCCGCCCCGATGCAGTCAAAATGATGGTGCGTTGTATTCGAGGGAAGACGGTAGTAGTACCTTTGCCGTCCGGTTTCGACAAGTTTTAGCCCAGTCCCGAATCCCGAACTTTTAGGAGACCGGGCCCGACAACGTCTTCCGTTGATATGATAAATCTGATCGGCGGCCGTCGTTTCGTTTGGGCTTCCTCCTAAAAGGTGGGAGGCCCACTATTTTCCGAACCGACAACGGTATTTAAAAAAAAAAACAACACGAAGAACGTTCCTTGCATAATTACACTGCATCGTAGTGGGAGAAACGAGGTCAAGTGTGTTTGTAATCCGTACGGAAAGGCGACAATTTCTCAAAAGGGACAATTTCTCAAAAGGAGGAGGAGAGGATTTAGATGTCAAAGCTGCCCATGATGATGGCAACTCCACCAAGTTGTGATCCTGGGTGTGGATGTGTATGGTTTGGTAGGCCAATAGATGAGGTTACAGACGTTTTTTTTTTTTTTTTTTTTTTTTTCACAACGGTATGTTTATTTCGGTATGTTTATTACGGATTGTAATACGTTTATCGATATCCATCCATCATAAATAAAGTGAGTCTCGTTAGGAACCTGCCTTTTCAGGTTACAGACGTGTTTTTCCTTCCCCCCCCCTCTCTTCTTTTGAAGCGGTATGGTATGTTTTTTTCGGATTTGATTACGGATTTTAAATGAGGTGAGAGTCTTGCAAGAAAACCTGTCGATTCGTATGCGGCCTTGAATCTCACAGTTTGTTGTTATGCGATTTATTAATCTATATATTGGTAAAAAAGAGGATGAGAATGATGAGAAACGATGAAATTGGGGGTAACAATGCAACCTACGTAACGGCATTGACGTAGAAGCGGACCCTAGATAACGATTTAGGTACGATTCTAGGGTGCTTTTGATTACGGTTTTTTGGGCCCGATTTTGGGGTGATTTTGATTACGACTTTTTTTTTCCCCTCCTTTTTTTTTTTTTTTTTTTTTTCCCCTAACAGGGCGACGGCCTTGAGATATCAACATCGAACTGGCCGGCCTTAGGTAATTCAGAATTCTAGTATATGTCACTCATCTGCTTCCAGTGGAGTTCAAACTCGGGGGGTCTGTATTTCACTGATCTGCTTCCAGTGGAGTTCGAACTCGGGGGGCCTGTATTTCAACAGTTGAGCGGTGTACTATTTGGGTAACGATTCTAGGGTCATTTTGATTACGATTTGGGTAACGATTCTGGGGTCATTTTGATTACGATTCGGGTAACGATTCTAGGGTCATTTTGNATTTTGATTACGATTTGGGTAACGATTCTGGGGTCATTTTGATTACGATTCGGGTAACGATTCTAGGGTCATTTTGATTACGATTTGGGTAACGAACGATTCTAGGGTCATTTGGATTACGATTTGGGTAACGAACGATTCTTGGGTGATTTAGGTGCGATCCTACCGTCTTCCCCCGAAGAGAAGGTACGTTCATTATAGCTGTAGGTGGTGGGTGCATTGTCCGTCTGGATGCAGCGATAATGACCGTACGTTGTATTGGGGGGAAGATGGTGATGAACAGGCGGAGCTTTCTTGGTTTGGTCGGTCATGTTCCTTGAATCTGGACCATTTTCTGTCGGACGAATGCTGCTGCTTGTAATTACATTTCTCTTGCTGGTTTGATCCAGGGGTTCTACGATGTGGGCTTCGAATGCTGGGTGGTTTCGATTTGCCTTAGGGCGTACTCACACTAGCACTTTCCTGAATGTATCTGACCTGAATTCTACCGCAATCTTTATGCATCTGACCGTAATTACGTCCCGAACTTAGTCCAACAAGTCCTTGTGAGATCTGGTCCAGGTTCCTAGCATGTGGACAATGATTCACGTTCCTTGCATCGGGAAATATTCGTATGGGCCGGGTTTTCGAAGTTGTGTTTGTGGGGCAATTTTTTGTTGGCTGATCTGGAACTGTCCTTTTTTTTTTTTTTTTTGCTGGCATCATCCTGGGCACGAGGTCCCACCTACCTCCATTTCTTTAAATATTATATTATTGTATATTAATTATGGATTATTGTATATTAGTCTAGGCTACCAGAGTGGCCCGGGGTCACTGGCCCGGCCGGGCCAAAAAAATAAAAAATAAAAATTATTTTTTTATTCTAATTTTGGTGAAGAATTTCGATGTGACCCTGAGGCAAAAGTTGTTCAGTTTATTTTTCCGCATAACATAGTTTTTTTTAGTATTTTGTGGAGTTTTTTTTTCTGTTTTTTTTGGCAGGGACTTTCCCTGGTCCTTGCACGGGCTGGCCACCCGGGAGCCGGGCGGCCCGGCTTGTAGCCTAGATATTAATTATATATTATTCATAATTATTGTATATTAATTAAAATATATATGAATTAGATTGATTAATTATATATTGATTAATTGTATTTATTGTTATGTTTTTATGTATTCATCTTTTATTAAATTTATTGCCTTTTTTTATGTAATTTTTATTTACGTATTTGTATATTGACTTATTTATCTTACTCGGTTATCAAAATAAAAAAGTCAATTTCTACAAAGTTCAAGAAAGGACAATATTCGTAACAATATTGATGAGAATTTATGAATGACAAAATTGATTTTGTGTGTGTTATTGTCACATAAAAGAGACATCTTGAGTTATTAATTTGAAATGAAAACCATTGGACAAAATATACAGGGCTATCACCTTCTCTGGCAAGACTTATTCCAAAAGATCTTCATTTTCTCAAGAAAGTTTGATGAATAATTTCACAAGACATGGTAAACAAAAAAAAAGATTACTTTTAAGTCATTGTCTAAACAATGCAATTTACGGACTTACAATTTGAAAAAGAAAGAAAACAATATTTTCTTTTCTCGGAAATTCTATTTTCTGTAAAAAAACGAGAAGAAATTTCCAATTTATATTAGAAGTAAAAAATCATTCCAGAATCAAGCACAATGACTTGTYAGCTACTTTACATAATCCTGCACATAAAACATGCACTGCGGGAATGGGGAAATATGGCTTTGATTTAATAAATTCTCAACTTTAAAGATGCAAAAAAAGCAATCCATAGCAATATTTGACGTCGTTCGCTAAATTCTGTTGTTAATAAGATTTGTAAATCAGTGGTTCCCGTCAGATGAGATACACTCACAGAATAATTGGAGATACCACAAGCGAATACCATATAACCTAATTGGCTACAAGTAGAATAAGCAATAACCCTTACTACAAGAAAACAAATTAGTTAGTACTCTCAGGGATAATAGGGACCCATTATAATTGTTTGTTAACGTTTTTTGCTTAGACGTACCCAGATACGTCTTTTATTATCCATGTCTAATTTTAATCTTCCTCTTCGTCCCCATTCAGAAATAAATGTACATGTTGTATTTGCTTGTGCATCAAATTTTGATCCAAAATAGAGTCCTGGACTACGTAAAATTTGGGCTTCTGGCCCGCGATTTCGGTCAGGGATTTTTTTTTTTTTTAATTCGACGGTCAGGAATGAGGTATCCCTATGTAAGCGGGACCTTGGCCTTTTTTTCATCGCCATTCCCTCCCCATCGTCTTGGCATTTGGCATCTGGGCCAAATTTTATTTTTGATTCTCTAAAGTTTGTTAAATTTGATTCTGTTCTGAGTATAGGTACGTGGCCCTTCTTTCACCCCTACCCCCCCCCCCCCCCCCCCCCCCCCCCCCCCCCCCCCCCCCCTCCCTTGTGCAGACGCCGTGCTAATCTCCTCTTTATCTTACCAATTTTAAGCCACGAGTGCGTTTCCCAGCCATGTTTTCAAAGTTGCGGTTGCAACTTTCTGGGATTCAGCTGGCGGAGCAAAATGGCTGGCGGCGCCAGCCAAACAGGAGGCGCACGCCGGTTTGTTTGTGTTCTTTTGGCGCACAGAGCGCTTCCAGCCCCGGAGACAAGCGCCTCGAAAGTACTGGTGGTTTAACGGATATCCCAGGAGGCGCACGCCGGTTTGTTTGTGTTCTTTTGGCGCACAGAGCGCTTCCAGCCCCGGAGACAAGCGCCTCAAAAGTACTGGTGGTTTAACGGATATCCCGAGCAGTGGCAACCCTTTGCCGTTTGGCATGGTGGCCTAAATTTTATTGTTGCTTTTCTAAGTTCGATCAAAGTTGATTCTGTTGTGTGTGTAGGTTCCAATTTTATTGTTGATTTTTTAAATTTTCTCAAAGTCGATTCTGTTCTGTGTGTAGGTAGTATAGGATCAATGCAAGTTTTTTTTAGCACCTGCGCCAAAATCGATGTTGACTGTGTATAATTTGCCTCCTTTGCTTTTTCGATCCAGTTTCTTTTTGGAATTGGCAGCAGTTGATGCCTGCTGGCTTTGAAATTGCGTTTGCAGCAGTGGATGTTGGTTGGCCTTAAAATTGTGCCTGTTGCATGTGGTGCTGATAATTGTCCCAATACATCCAAAATGTTTGACCGAAATGTATCTGCCGGGAAAACAGTCCAGATACGTGTCGAATGTTGAGCAGTGGAGTGAGGCACTAGGTTTGTGGTTATCTCATCCTTCCTACTGTCTTCACCTGAATAGAATGGTGGGTCATTATAACTGAATTTGGGCCAACTTTTGACCTAGATAGAAGGATAATGACCAGGTGTTCTATTTGGGTGAAGACGGTTGTAGTTCCGTGGTTTCCTCATTTTTTTTTTTCTTCCCTTTTTCTTTGAATTCCCTTTTTTTCTTCCCTTTTTCTTTGAATTCCCTAAGGGCAGTAAAATAACTTTAGAGAACTGATAGTTGTCGGCTGACTGTTGGGATCAATTGGCAGGGACATGAGTATGTTGTGGAAGAGCTCACGGAAGGAAGCTTTGACGATGTAGACATTGCACTTTTCAGTGCCGGCGGGTCAATTAGGTGAGGCTTCTGGCACATTGCCACTCAGTGGTATCACTAACTCTGGGCGACGTGGCGAGTGCTTATCCGTCAGTGAAATGGATTTTTGGGCAGAGTTGCGGTTCAACCTCCGGATGAGTAGGTGAAAGTTAGTCAGTCCTCCGAAACAATCTGGCACAGTCGTGCCAAATCTGGAGGTTGCGGCGGTTCAACCGATGGATTGCACTTTTTAGTTGAACATCTGTGTAGCTTTTCTGTGCAGTTGTGTATAGCAAACATGACAAAACACAAAAAGATACCCACAAAGACGAACAAGAAAGGGGATCTAAGGGGAGGAGGTAATCTTACTGCTGAGTCAAACGAAAGAGTCGCTCACAATGGTGCTTTTGTTGTGGAGGTGTGTGTAGTGAAGCATGACAAAACACATATACCCACAAAGACCAACAAGAAGGGAAGGGAGGGGAGTTGTATGCTGTCAGATTGTTAACGAGGAGGAATGCATGTGTGAAACAGACAAAGAGACAGTCACATAAGGTCACACATACCCACAAAGATCAACAATAAAAGGGGGGGAAGGGGAGGGAGGGGAGTTGTATGCTGTCGGATTGTTAACGAGGGGGAATGGACGTGTGAAACAGACAAAGGGACAGTCACATAAGGTCACACGAAACAGATATACCAGGTTTTTATAAAGGGAGAAAACAAGCAAGCAAAACGGATAACCACAGCACTGAAATTTATTACCGATTGCAGTGCAGGATTTCATGGGTCTGTGAATGTAGCAGAGAGCTGAACAGGGAATGCCGTCACATCCATGTGGTAAAAAAAGCTCACTCGGACCATGTGGAGTTCTACGAAACCTGAGAAAGTAATGCTTTGCTATTTGGTCCTGAGAGATGGTTAATGGAAGGCCCAAAATTTGGGTTTTTTCGGCACATCACCGCAACCAATGCCATCGAAAACGACACCACCTATTAACCATTAGTGTTGGTCCGAGACTTGGTTTGGTGAAATGTTCCCTCCAAGCTGAGGGTGTTTTGTTATCATGAATGTCATCATGCCAGATGTGTCTGCTGTCACTTGTGTCTGCTGCTTTGTAGCGCGTTCAGATTATTTTTTGTTTTTTTAGTCTGAATAATTTCTCCGTTTATGCGTGTCATCCTTGGGCAGGGGCCATGCTAATCTTCTCTGTATCGTTCCAATTTTAAACCACCAGTACCTTACGAAGCAGTCCGAACCTTTTTTTTTGAGCTACCGAACCTCTTTGTTTCGGGAGGAGGCAGCTGTTGAAAAGCAGTGCTACAGCGGGCGACCGGTCCTTCAATGTTGAGGGATCGGTACTACTTAGACTGTTTTTTTTCCTTCTTTGCTTTTCGTTTTATCTCTATCTCTTTTGCCCCCGTTTTTTATGCCTGAGTGATGTGTAGCAGAGGAACCAAACAAAAGAAGAAAAAAGAAAGGAAACAAGGATTTCGCCGTGATAGCGATCAGATACATTCAGGAAAGTATGAGTGTGATGATGCCCTCAGTGAGGGCCTTTCTCGAGAACTCGATTGCGCTTTGCCTTGCTGGCAGGGCTCGAACAAAAAAAAAACACAAAAAAAAAAACACAATGGTTTGGCCATGAAAATGGTAAAATACATTTTGGACAGCCTGGTGCGAGTATGCCCTATCCGACGAACATAGTCAGTTGGAAGAAGGAAACAAAAGAAAAAAGAAAAAAAAAAACGGAAACAAAGATTTTTTCCTTGATGCACGGCCTGTCATTCACAAACGACAAAGTGGAGCTCTGTCAAGGCCGTGGTAATCATGTCTGTATCAGGGCGGGGCCGGCAACCGGCCAGTTCAGCTTGCCCGGTTGAACCGGAGCCGGACCAGCCCTGGGGGGGTGAACCGGGAAACCGATTTTCAAAAAATAAAGCCTAATTCTCTTTTTTTTTTTTTTTTTTTTTGGTGTATTCTGACTGCGCTCTTCAAGAGCTGTCGAAATCCGTAATAAATTTTTTAAGGTCCAATTTTTTTTGGGGGGTGCCCCAGGGGTAGGTGGGGATATTATTGGAATATTCATGGAGGTGTCACTTTCAGGGGGAGGGGTCGAGTAAGCAATATTACTTATCCGACCCCCCATTGCCCACGGACTTCAATTCAGTAGCAGAAGGCACTCTGGACTATGCCAACGGCCGTCGGAATCCTGCAGCCTGAATGAGATGCAATAGAAGTGGATCTTTGCCAAAACTTATACCTTTTCCAGAGTATAGCTCGACGGCCGAAAAGTTATGGGTGCAGGTTTCAGCTTGTGCAGGCAGAGCGTTTTCTGTTTGTCTTTTTTGTTTTAAATACAGAACGTTTTCTGTTGTTTTTTTGTTTTAAATACGCTGGGTCATCAATGTCCTCAGTCCGAAAGTATCTCGCCTGCTAGTCTGTCCAGATACATGTAGTGGAGCCACGTGCATTTTAGATAGATTGACAGAAAAATATAGCTTAGGTCCGTTCTTGGGCTTGCACCTCAGACAGAGCCGAAACCCAAACCCATAACTCTTTCCCCAGAGGTTAGTGATGTTGCAGAAGCATATAACCTCAGGAGAGCCACTGCTCTTCCATAGTAATTCCTTCGTGGCTGAGGATGGACGAGTATGTCATGCCAATGATAACTGGTCTGTGGTCTGTCGGACCACACTATGCCAAATCAAAATGTGGGGCCTGGTGGCCCCCCAAATTTTGAGAAAAAGCGCGCGGCGGTCGTTTGCCGCTGATCTGCAAAGATAAGCGGCGGAGATTCTCCGCTCGTTGTTTCCTAGAAGTGGGGCCCAAAAAGCCCCTTTTTTTTTTTTTTTGGAGCCTGCAGCCTCGTGGGGGCTGGGCAGTCGTGGGGATACCTGTCACTGCCCGGTACCCCCCGTCCAGCCTAATGCGCTGGATTCAACCGGGGGTCTGCCGGGCCGGTCGACCGACCGGTCTGACCGGCAGGCTCCCGGGTGGGGAAGGGGCCCCCGGTCCAACCGGGGACCAGCCCTGGTCTGTATCCTTCCTATGCTTTTTGGAAAGATCATGATCAATTTGCACACACGGAGAGCACAGTATTGGCCCCTGTTTGTTTCAAAACACCAAGCCGCTATCCACACCGTGTAGAGGTGTTTTCTTTCACAGAACCTCAGCGATACTTTTATTTTTTCTTGTTTTTCTGCTTTTTTTTTGTTTTTTTTCTCCTCTGGACTCTGGTCGCTCGTTCTTGTTTTCAAAACGAGCTACCACCTACACCTGTGCCGAGGCTCCACCGAGCCCCTACCAAGCCTTCCAAGGTCTTCCATGAATTCAGGAAGGCAAAACGTTTTGGCTGGGCGGGGTACTGGTGGTTTAATGGATGTCCCGAAGCACGAAAATTCTCTGTAGCTTTCAGATCTCATTCTGCATTCTGTTAGCTTTTCTGTATGGCATTGAGCATGCTCACCATACACCCCCGACAAATGGCATGTCGAATGCAGGCCAAAATGACGGAAGAAAGGTCACCACAAAAGACCATGCGTTCAGTATAGCGCCCATGGCCGCAAAATGGACATAGTGTCAGGATGCGGAGGGTGCCTGCAGTCAGGAACAGAGGGACAGTCCTGTGCACACATGGATGCAGAGACCATGTCATTGTAGTGATCGTGACAGAGACGATGGCGGCTACAACTGTGTATGGATGGCAATATTGTGTCTGTTGACTACAATATCATCTGCGATGATAGCCTTCGCAAGCTTTTTCAAGAAGGCTCGAAGTATCGGCTGAATGGGGAAACTGCCGATGTGCTCCAGGCACTGGCAATTGGACTAGATGAGTACACTGCCAGTTACAAAAGGTTGTTGGCCGGGCATTCTTGATCTGCGTCTTTCTCGTCTCCTTCTCAGAAGCTGAACAGCTGGCGTTCTGCAATCCTTGCGCATTGTATCTCTTATGCATCTCCGGTTTCCAATCATGTGAGCCAGCCACGTTCACTTCGTTCTACACATGCCTCCTTGCGCCATCTTCAACAACACTTTGCCATTATCCCTGTGGACAAAACATCGCACAATTTGGCGATTTGCTGCGAGAATTGGTATTTGTTTCATCTCTCTACCCATTTGGACAGTCCCACTTATACTCGCCCTCAAGAGTCTGTTGCTGATGTCCTTGACCACCATGTAGTGTGGAATCACCATTGGGGTTACACCCACATTGATACCCTACCTTACCTTTACTATGTACTCAAAGCTCACAAGTCTCCTCCAGCTCTTCGCAACATTCTTGGAGTCACAAGACAAAAGTCATGTTCCCCCGTGCGCTCGCCCTTGTCCAACAATTCGCACCATTCATGAACGGCCTGCTCACAAACCTTTGGCTAGCGTATCGACTACTTCATCGTATCTCAACGCTGCTTTGCAAGGAGTGATCTCTACTCTTCGGGAGAAAGACAATGAGCTCTATCAACAGTTTGGTGTTCGACGGTGCTGGATTGTTCAGAGTGTCGATGAAGTGGCGATTGACCTGAAAAACAATGCATCGTCTCTTTGCGGCCTCTCTTCTCACACTGTTGATTTTACCACAATGTACACCAACCTCCTCATGACCGCATTCTGAATAATGTGGCAAGAACTGTTGATGAAACTTATGCTTATGCCCTTCGGCATGCTCACACACATTCACGCTGCGTTGCCTTCAACATGGTTATTCGAGGACCTCATTGTGGCCAATGGACGATTGATTCAAGCCTGGATACCCTTCTCGTTTCTCAGGTTCTCCAATATCTTGCTTTGTTGTACAAAACACTTTTCTGTACACTAAAGATAGCACGCTCCAGAAACAAATTATCGGTATTCCATTGAGAACGAATGCTGGCCCAAAAATTTCTAATCTGATGTTGTATTGGGATGAAGCACACTTTTTTGATGATATTTGTCAACATGATCTTCAAGCCGCTCAACAATACGCCTTCACTTATCGCCTCATTGATGATGTTCTTTCATGGGGACAATTACCTCCTCCACCAGAGCACTATGGCCTT